ATCAGTGCTTTGGTTCGGTTACGTATTTGTCTCCCCAACACTCTGCACCAGCACCACCACACTCCCCCAACACTCGCCGCCACCACCACCTCCCCCAACACTCCGCCGCCACCACCACCACACTCCCCAGCACTCACCACCAACTAGCCACCACCACCTCCCCGACACTCACCACCAGCACTGTACCACCACCTCCCCACCACTCAAGCCACCACCACCAACACTCACACCGCCGCCACCACCAGCCGCCACCACCACCACCTCCCCCGACACTCTCGCCGCCGCCACCACCACCCCCCAGCACTCACCACCAACACTAATACCACCACCTCCCCCGACCACTCGCCATAACACCAGCCACCACCACCTCCCCCCGACACTCACCACCACCACTCCACGCCTCCCACCACACCACTCCCCCAACCTCGCCGCCGCCGCCACCTCCCCCAGACTCACCACCAGCACTAACCACCAACACAGCCACCACCACCTCCCCCGACACTCGCCACCAGCCTAGCCACCTGCCTCCATTGCTCATGCTTCCTCCCCCAGCACTCATGCCAACATCATGCCATGCCACCACCCCCCAACACCACCACCTCCTGACACTAATACCACCACCTCCTCCCCCAACTTGCCTCATCTACCACTCCCCAACACTCACCACCAACACTAGCCGCCTACCACCACCTCCCCAACACTCACGCAACACTCCACCACCCCCCAACACTAAACCACCACCCCCCAACACTCACCACCACCTCCCCAGCCTCTCCACCACCCCTAACACCTCCATCCCCCCACCTCTGACCTCCGCACCTCCGACACCCTCACACCACCCACCACCACCACATCCCCAACACTCATGCCAACCCACTCACCGCCACCCACCCAACACTCGCCAACCACCACGCCACCCACCCAGCACTCACCCAGCACAACCGCTCCCCACCACCCATCTGCCTCACCACCACACTTGCCACCACCACCCCCCCAACACTCACCACCAACACCAGCCTACCACCAACACTCATGCGCCTACCACCAACCACCCACCTCTGACACTCCCACCACCACTAACCACCACCTCCCCAACACTCATGCCACTGCCATATGCCGCCGCCACCTCCCCAACACTCACCCCACCACCACCACCTCCACAACACTCACCCACCACTATCACCACCACCACCTCCCCCAACCTCACCACCAACCTCACCACCAGCACTCGCCACCACCACCACACACTCAACCACACCACACCCCAACCACCGCACCAACACTCACCACCAACACCAGCCACCACCACCTCTGACACTCAATACCACACCTGCTCCCAAAACATCGCCACGCCGCCATGCCACCACCTCCCCTGACACTCCAGCCACACCCCAACTGCTCAGAACCACCACCACATCTGCGCTCATGCACCGCCACCACCACCGCCTCTGACACTCATGTGCATATTTACCATACCACCTCCCCTGACACTCACCAGCACTAATACCACCACCCACCTCCCCAACACCACCACCAGCACTCTAATACACCACCTCTGTGCTCATGCCCCCACCACCTCCCCAACACTCATGCCACACCACCACTGACACTCATGCTCACCACCACCTCTGACACTCTGCCAGCACTAATACCACCACCTCCCAACACTCAGCCACCGCCACCACCAACACTCACCGCCAGCACTAGCCACCACCACCTCCCCAACACTCATGCCACCACCTCCCCAGCACTCACCACCACTTGCCATACCAACACCACCCCCTCCGCCAACACGCGCCGCCCACTGACACTCGTATACCACCACCGCATCTGACGCTCATGCGCCACCACCAGCATCTAACGCTCACCACCAGCACTAATGCCACCGCCTCTGAACGCTCACCACCAGCACTATGCACCACCATCACCGCGCACTGTATGCCACCACCGACGCTCATGCGCCACCGCCCCACCAGCGCCAACACCACCTCTGACGCTCAGCCACCACCACCACCCCCAACTCTGCCACCGACACTCATGCCACCAACTGTCACCACCAGCCTCTAATACCACCATCTGAACGCTCACCACCACCACCCACTGACATGCTAGCCACCGCCATCACTATCTGGGCCTCACCACCAACGCCTAATACCACCGCATAACCACCTCTGACCACCAATACCAGCCCAATACTGCACCACCGCCCCGACCACCCATATACCACCTCCCCAGGCATGCCACCACCACCCCCACACTGCACCACCTCACCACCAGCACTAGCCACCACCACCAGCAACGCTCACTACCACCACCTCCCCAGCACTCATGCACCACCACCTCCCCAACGCTCATGCCACCCCTCCCCAACACTCGCCAACCACCCCAACCCCTACCACCTCCCTCAACACTCATGCCATGCACTCCCCACCACCCCTGACACTCACCACCAACACTCACCACCACCACCACCTCCTGCCACTCATGCGCCACCATGCCACCTCTGACACTCATGCCACCACCACCACCTCTGACACTCGCCAACACTAATGCCACCACCTCTGACACTCACCACCAGCACTATGCCACCACCACCACCACGCTCACGCCAACACCACCACCCCCACCAGCACTAATACCGCCACCACCACCTGACACCACAACACCACCTCCCCAACCTCTGCCAGCCACCCAGCACCTTCCCTGCCTCCCCCACCACCATCTCCACAGCACTCCTCCATCACCACCGCGTCCTCAACACTCGCCGCCACCACCACCAGCACTCACCCACCACCTCCCCAACACTCCCCACCACCATCTCCCCCCACCACTACCACCACCACCAACCTCCCACCACTGCCTCCCCACCACCTCCCCAACACCCCTCGCCGCTCTCCCCACCACTACCACCACCTCTCCCCTCCCACCTCCCCCACCACCTCCCCAACACCCCCCTCCTTCCACCTCTCCACACTCCCCAACACCCCACCACCATCACCTCTATCACCTCCTCCCATTACCCACCAACACTCACCACCACCTCCCCAACCTCCCCACCACCTCCCCAACCTCCTCCACCACCACCCCCCAACACTCCCCACCACCAACACTCTACCCACCCCTCCAGCACTCATCACTACCCCGTCCCCAACAGTCCCCACCACCCTCCAACATCCCCCACCACCACCCCCCCCTCCACTTCCCACCACCACCTCCCCAACACTCTCACCTCCCCACCACCACACCTCCCCAACCTCCCCACCCCCTCCTCCCTACCATCACCCCCTCCTCCCCCACTCCCCTACCACTCCACCACCCTCCCACCACCACCACTCTCCCACCACCCCCTCCCCAACACAGGGTTAAATGTGAGGATAGAGTAGTGTCAATGCAATTTGGAGGCCATATTGGATGTTATTGGTATTTGGTCTTGTCAGGTCAGGTCAGGTCAGGTCAGGTCAACTCAAAATAAACAACACTCACTGGTAACTTAATGCTCCTCTGCTTCATGTTGCCTGGCGGAGCGTGGCGGTCGAACGGATACAGTGCTTGACTATTGTTCCATGGTTCGATTCTCTGGCGCTCTTAGTTTACCCAGCTGTAAATAGGTACCGATGTTTACAAGTTGGGCAAGTGAAGACGGTCGAGTGGAGTACCGGTCATGTTGCCTCCTTGTGTACCGAAGGCTTAGTATGGGGTGCACTGCCTATGGACCTACTCTCACTTTTTCATGTTGGTCCAGTGATTCAGCCTGTGATGATCAGCACTGGTAGAGTGTGCACGTCAGCACCAGGGGAGGTCAGCACCATGGGAGGTCAGCAATATAGGGAGGTCAGCAATATAGGGAGGTCAGCACCATGGGGAGGTCAGCACATAGGAGGTCAGCAATAGGGAGGCCAGCACCATGGGAGGTCAGCACCATGGGAGGTCAGCACCATGGGGAGGTCAGCACCTGGGAGAGGTCAGCAATATAGGGAGGTCAGCACCATGGGAGGTCAGCACCATGGGGAGGTCAGCACCATGGGGAGGTCAGCAATAGGGGAGGCCAGCACCATGGGGAGGTCAGCACCATGGGAGGCCAGCACCATGGGAGGTCAGCACCATGAGGCACATGGGAGGTCAGCACCATGGGGAGGTCAGCACAATAGGGAGGTCAGCACCATGGGGAGGCAGGTCAGCACCATGGGGAGGCCGCACATAGGGAGAGGCCAGCACATAGGGAGGTCAGCACCATGGGAGGTCAGCACCATGGGGAGGTCAGCACCATGGGAGGTCAGCACCATGGGGAGGTCAGCACATAGGGAGGTCAGCACCATGGGGAGGTCAGCACCATGGGGAGGTCAGCACCATGGGGAGGTCAGCACCATGGGGAGGTCAGCAATATAGGAGGCCACACCATGGGGAGGTCAGCACCATGGGGAGGTCATCAGACATAGTAAATCCGTGTTCAAGTTTAATCTGTAGGAAAAATAGGAAATTAAATCTAAAATAAATTATCACCTGAAAATTAGCCATCGCAAGCTGTTATCATCAAAACACCTTAACCTTTGGAGGGGGGAGGAGGAAGTTAGGAGGAGGAGAGCGAGAGGAGACAAAGGAAGAGGCAGGTGCACCCGCACAAAAGGACACTCAACCTTCCCTGTCCACCACCTCCCCCTAACCACCACCTCCCCGTCCACCTCCTCCCTAACCCCTCCCCGTCCACCTCCCCTAAGCGTTCCCACACATTTCTCAGCTTCATGACCAACAGATCATCATCCCCCACAGATTGCGATCACAAAATCGGTTTAGCTCCACTTAAAAGTAAAAATAACGCATCTTGCAATGACGTGAGCAGTTAACATCCAGCAAATTCAGTGAAGCGAGAGGCATCTTTACTGTGTTAAGAAAACCAAACAGGTACAACAATTAGGGGATAAAACAAAGGAAATAAAGCAATTGAAGGTAATAGACGTTGCTCGCTATTTCATTACTAACACCAGCTTGTGGAATAACCAGAAAATCGCTCAAAATAAAAATAAATTACCGTGTAAGACGAGTTTCCATTTCTTCCCTGACAGAGGGAGATGCTTGCTGCAATTTTCCCTGATGCACAAAAACACGTTTTTCTGGTCCGTGTACACGGCTGTGAGCTGTACGATGATGCCCTCTATACGACAATGGAGTCCACGTACGATACAATGTACAATTTGTTGGTGTATTTGTTTACAGAACTTGATAGCACGAGTTACGTGTTCTGAAGGCTTGAGTTTCACCGTTCACAACAGCATACACCCAACTAATACCTGTTGGGGTAATGATGCAACAGTATTGTAATTAACGAGCAGTGATACTAGTGCCATACTTGAACCAATATAATAAACAGTGCTATGATAAACTACCATTATAATAAACACAGCCCCCCCACCCCCTTCCCCTTACGAGTGCAATTGTAAATTTATTTGTAATTGTTTATGTTTTAAGTGAATTTCTTTTATTTACTTAGTTATTATGGACATTACAAAAATTGATACAGTATATTGATTTCTCGTGTACCCACCACATATTGCGACCGTTACAAAATACTTAAAATTCATACATTTTTTGTTGTATTTTTGGGTTAGGTACATTGTGGAAAATACAGAATCACCTAAAGATTAGAAACCCTAATTTATTTCACCTGATTAACCCAATCTCCCTAGTTTACGTGACGTTTCCTGGAGTTAATTATGTAAATTTAGATTATATTAAATAAAATCAAGTGACAAACTAGGGAGTCTAATCTTGAAGTTAGATTAGGTTAGCGTTATGGGGAGGGTAATCCGGTGAAATAAACTGTGGTGTCTACTCTAGGTGAACCGAAAATACGTTAAATTCTGAGAACACTGTAAATTACAAGACGTCAGCAAAAATAAAGTAATTCTTGTGTTGCAACCTTGGCAGTGAGATCTTATTGCAACCGTAATAGCGAAGCAGAACCGCAATTGCAATGATAAGCACGTTGCAGCCGCAGTGGTGAGCCCCTTGTTACGGTCTTGGATATGTGTATTATAGGTAGTCAGGTGTGTATATAGGACGCATTTTAACACGGGTGATATAGAGTTGTAGTGAACATGTAGTACTAGTGTTATAGTGAACATGTAGTACTAGTGTTATAGTGAACATGTAGTACTATGTTATAGTGAACATGTAGTACTAGTGTTATAGTGAACATGTAGTACTAGTGTTGTAGTGAATATGTAGTACTAGTGTTATAGTGAATATGTAGTACTAGTGTTATAGTGAAACATGTAGTAACTAGTGTTATAGTGAACATGTAGTACTAGTGTTATAGTGAAATATGTAGTACTAGTGTTATAGTGAACATGTAGTACTAGTGTTGTAGTGGAATATGTAGTACTAGTGTTGTAGTGAACATGTAGTACTAGTGTTATAGTGAACATGTAGTAACTAGTGTTATAGTGAACATGTAGTACTAGTGTTGTAGTGAACATGTAGTACTAGTGTTATAGTGAACATGTAGTACTAGTGTTATAGTGAAACATGTAGTACTAGTGTTGTAGTGAACATGTAGTACTAGTGTTATAAAAGAACATGTAGTACTAGTGTGTTATAGTGAACATGTAGTACTAGGTATATGTGAAACATGTAGTACTAGTGTGTTGTAGTGAACATGTAGTGCTAGTGTTATAGTGAACATGTAGTACTAGTGTTGTAGTGAACATGTAGTACTAGTGATGTAGTGAACATGTAGTACTAGTGATGTAGTGAACATGTAGTACTAGTGTTATAGTGAACATGTAGTACTAGTGTTATAGTGAACATGTAGTACTAGTGATGTAGTGAACATGTAGTACTAGTGATGTAGTGAACATGTAGTACTAGTGTTATAGTGAACATGTAGTACTAGTGTTATAGTGAACATGTAGTACTAGTGATGTAGTGAACATGTAGTACTAGTGTTGTAGTGAACATGTAGTACTAGTGATGTAGTGAACATGTAGTACTAGTGTTATAGTGAACATGTAGTACTAGTGTTGTAGTGAACATGTAGTACTAGTGTTGTAGTGAACATGTAGTACTAGTGATGTAGTGAACATGTAGTACTAGTGTTATAGTGAACATGTAGTACTAGTGTTATAGTGAACATGTAGTACTAGTGATGTAGTGAACATGTAGTACTAGTGTTGTAGTGAACATGTAGTACCTGTGTTATAGTGAACATGTAATACTAGTGTTATAGTGAACATGTAGTACTAGTGTTATAAAGAACATGTAGTACTAGTGTTATAGTGAACATGTAGTTGTAAGCCCGGACCTACGGCCTAGAAAACAGTGCGTTAATGTTCGAAATAAGGCAAACAGAGTATTAGGTTTTATATCTAGAAGTGTAAGAAACAAGAGTGCAGAGGTCTTATTGCAACTATATCTTGCGCTAGTCAGGCCGCACCTCGATTATGCGGTTCAGTTCTGGTGCCCTTATTATAGAATGGATATAAATTCACTGGAGTCGGTGCAGCGAAGAATGACGAAAATGATTCCGGGACTTAGAAACCTTCCATATCAAGATAGGCTAAAGAAACTAAACTTGCATTCCCTAGAAAGACGAAGAGTGCGGGGAGATATGATAGAAGTATTTAAGTGGGTGAAAGGAATCAATAAAGGGGATATAGATAAAGTTCTTATAATATCCGAGCAGGATAGGACTCGTAGCAAAGGGTTTAAGTTCGATAAGTTTAGGAGGGAGATAGGAAGAAACTGGTTCACAAATAGGGTGGTGGACGAGTGGAACAAGCTTAGCAACTTTGTAGTGAGTGCTGGAACGCTGGAGAGTTTCAAAAGGAGGCTAGATAGATTCATGGATGATAGAGAGTGGTAGTAACTCTCGACAGGAGCTGCCTTGCACGGGCCAACCGGCCTATTGCAGACTCCTTATTTTCTTATGTAGTACTAGTGTTATAATGAACATGTAGTACTAGTGTTATAGTGAACATGTCGTACTAGTGTTATAATGAACATGTCGTACTAGTGTTATAGTGAACATGTAGTACTAGTGTTATAGTGAACATGTAGTACTAGTGTTATAGTGAACATGTAGTACTAGTGTTATAGTGAACATGTAGTACTAGTGTTAGTGAACATGTAGTACTAGTGTTATAAAGAACATGTAGTACTAGCGTTATAGTGAACATGTAGTACTAGTGTTGTAGTGAACATGTAGTACTAGTGTGTTGTAGTGAACATGTAGTACTAGTGTTATAAAGAACATGTAGTACTAGCGTTATAGTGAACATGTAGTACTAGTGTTGTAGTGAACATGTAGTACTAGTGTGTTGTAGTGAACATGTAGTACTAGTGTTATAAAGAACATGTAGTACTAGTGTGTTGTAGTGAACATGTAGTACAAGTGTTATAGTGAACATGTAGTACTAGTGTTAGTGAACATGTAGTACTAGTGTTATAGTGAACATGTAGTACTAGTGTTATAGTGAACATGTAGTACTAGTGTTATAGTGAACATGTAGTACTAGTGTTGTAGTGAACATGTAGTACTAGTGTGTTGTAGTGAACATGTAGTACTAGTGTTATAGTGAACATGTAGTACTAGTGTTATAGTGAACATGTAGTACTAGTGTTATAGTGAACATGTAGTACTAGTGTTATAGTGAACATGTAGTACTAGTGTTATAGTGAACATGTAGTACTAGTGTTATAGTTAGTGTTTCTATTAGGGGTTAGGAAAAAGACTGGCTAACTGGACTATTTTGCTTCACATCGTTTACATTATAATAAACATGGGGTGCAAACTTACGCCATCTTCCTTGACACACCCCCCTCACCTTACCCCTTCATGGAAAGAGAGTTAGGACAACGCAGGTAAACGCCGGGGAGCAGCCAACTGTACCTGGACAATCACCAATACTAACATTCCAGAACCTTGACTGCCAACTGCGCACACTTTTCCTCACTAGTATGACGTGGCAGTGCGCGCCGTCCAGCTAAAATAAAAGTTTAATAATATAAGCACTGGGTTGGTAGTTGGGTCGTATTTTGTCGTATTCAAAAATTGACGAATAATAATCGACTTTTTTTATAATTTTTTTTGGGGGGGCGGGATTAGTTTGATATTATTACAGGGTCAACCAATATGGCTGTCGAGTTGACCAATTCGTTTTTCCGGTGGTTTAGACAATTTTATGACTTTTCTTCTGGAAGTTTCCCTCGCAAATGACTTAAATATACCGAAGGGTCCAGGGAGGTGGAGCCCCCCCCCCCCCGGTTATGTGGTTAGATTAGGTAATTTGTCAGGGAAAAGTCTTAGAAGTAGTGTCTTGAAATTTCCTAAACCATCGGAAAAGCACATATGGTGAACTCGACAGCCATATTGGTTGACCCTGTAATAATACCAAATGTTGTCTCTATGTAGTTTACGTTAGGATTGGTTAGGTTAGGTAATGAATACTACGCTCGTTTCTTGGGGTTAAGTCGACTCGTAAGTGACGAGTTGTTTCTCCCTAATAGTCAATTTGGCCAAGACATAATACGCACTTCATGGAAAACGCATTGAGGTATACAGGAAAAACTTAACCAACCTGACCTGACCTAAGTAGCCATTGACCCCTCTTTAAAAAAAAATTGCGAAACGAAAAATCCCAAGTATTACAGTGGACGGTTTTAAGTCAAATATTAACCCTAGGCACTAACTAAACAGTCCGCCTTCCTTCTGTCACCTCAAAGTTGTTCTTACCAGTTACTCAGACTAATAAACGCACTTTTTTAACACACAATCAACAGCAATTCCCATAAATACTTATAAAACCGGGAAAATTATTGCTCAAGTGACACACAATGAGTAGCAATCAATGTTATAACGAGTGAGTTGTGCTGAAGAAGCCGACGAGATCTTCACCACACCACGACTCGGACAACACTGTGGAAAATGTAACTCGGAGACCGGGCGCCGGGTAATGCTTGTCAGTTGTTGCCATCGTTCACAACATTCTTTATTTTTATTTAACTCCACCAAGCGCTTACCGAACCTTACTGTATCCCTATTACATCACTTATATATAGTTTAAAACATTAATTACGCCATAACACAAGAGTTAGGAAGATATTTACAGGTTTAGGTTGGCTGTGAGTTGCCAGTGCCCTCCTCCCCTCCCTCCCCTCACCCTCCTACAACAAATCCATGTTAGGCTGCTGAGTGCTTGCCCCAAAGCTCCCCTCCCCCTCCCCTCCCCCTCCCCCTCCCCCCCCTCTCCCCTCCCTCCCTCCCCTCCCCTCCCCCCCTCCCCTCCCCTCCCCTCCCCCCTCCCCCTCCCCTCCCCCTCCCCTCCCCTCCCTCTCCCCCTCCCCTCCCCCTCCCCCCTCCCTCCCCTCCCCCTCCCCTCCCCTCCCCCTCCCTTCTCCCCCTCCCCTCCCCCTCTCCCCTCTCTCCCTCCCTCTCCCTCCCCTCCCCCTCCCCTCCCTCCCCTCCCCCTCCCCCTCCCCCTCCCCCTCCCCCCCTCCCTCCCCCCTCCCCCCTCTCCCCTCTCTCCCTCCCCCCTCCCTCTCCCCCCTCCCCTCCCCCCCCCCCTCCCCCCCCTCCCTCCCCTCCCCTCCCCCTCCCCCCCTCCCCCCTCCCCCCCCCTCCCTCCCCCTCCCCCCTCCCCCCCTCCCCTCCCCCTCCCCCTCCCCCTCCCCCCCTCCCCTAACCATCCACTCATTTAAACTGCTGATGCTCCAAAGCTCCCCTCCCCTCCCCCTCCCCCTCCCCTCCCCTCCCCCTCCCCCTCCCCCCCTCCCCCTCCCCCCTCCCCTCCCCCCCTCCCCTCCCCTCCCTCCCCCTCCCCCCCTCCCTCCCCTCCCCTCCTCCCTCCCCATACCCCTCCCCTCCCCAGGCCCCCTCCTTCCTCCACCCTTGCTCCTCCCCCTCCGCCCTTATCCTCCCCCTCCCCCTCCCTTGCCTCCCCTCCCCCTCCCCCACCTCCCCCTCCTCCATCAACATCCCTACCCAGCCCCATACTAAACAAGGGGGCTGTTTTAAGACACCCTCCAGACCCCAGTAAAACAAATATTAAAACACGTGGGGACAGTAATACACAGACCTAAGAGGCCAATTCTTTTTTATTAGTTAGTCATAAGATATTAAACCTCCTGTACTGGTTTAGGTTTTAGTGATGCACGGTTAAAACTAAAACAACATGTGTCGTGTGTTAAAACAGCTTATGGATACGTACAGTCACTCAAAAACACTATCTACTTTGGGTGTGTGTGAGAGAGAGTGTGTGGGGGTGAGTGTGGGGGTAGGTGTGAGTGTGTGGGTGTGTGGTGGGGTGTGTGTGGTTCAATGTGGCTCGTAATTCCAGACCACATAGTGTGACTTATAATGATCACGTTCTTCTTCCCTCCTCTTCTTCCTCCCTCCACTTCTTCACCCTCCACTTCTTCACCCTCCTCTTCTTCCTCCCTCCACTTCTTCACCCTCCTCTTCTTCCTCCCTCCACTTCTTCACCCTCCTCTTCTTCCCTCCTCTTCCCTTAACCCTCACCATGACTTACGGTTCCCATACCTTCTCCCCACCCCACCCCTACTACCTCCCCTCCTCTCCCCACACCTCTCCATCCCACCCACTTAAACCTCTTCACTCACCACCCCACTCCATCCCACTCTTTACTTCCTCCTGACCATCTGCCTCTACGTGTCACAGGTAACATTTCCTCTTCCTCCAAGCACTTCCTGGTGTGTGTGTGTGTGTGGATAATAATACAACAAATAATACTATACGGTTTATTGAGAGAAAATAACAGTTCATGGGCAGAAAATGTACAGGAACAGTAATGATATAAGTTACATTTGAAGATCTTAGGAAGTTGTTCATTTAACTAGGGTCTCATGAACATACAGGTTAATTAGGGTCTGATAGTGAACATATTGGTCAACTAGGGTCTGGTAGATACAACTGTGGCTGAAAGGGGGCTGTTCCCATGCAGTCCTGATGTTGTTGTGGTGTTGTATAGCTTGATCACAGAGTGTTGTTAGCCTCGGTCCATGTGATGTAGTCGGTCTCAGGTGGAGTAAGCAACTGTAAAAAAAAATAATACCGTTATATTTTGCCTTACAGCCAAAACACAGAAATACTTGAGTTACTGCTAAGTTATGGCCTTGAGTTGAGTTTTCTATTATACAAAATATGTTATGGGTAACTATAGTAAATATCAGACCATATATATATATATATATATATATATATATATATATATATATATATATATATATATATATATATATATATATATATATATATATATATATATATATATATATATATATATATATATATACAAGGATTCTTTATATAATTTCCTGGTAATTGAAAATGTAAGAGTGAATTTAACTGGTTGAATCAGGTTAAAATATAAAATTAACGCACAGAAATAACATGAAAATTATAATATGACTGCCTTAAATAGACACATTCACAAGGTGCAAGTTGAAAGTAAAATTAACGTATATTTAACAACATTTTACAAAATTTTAATTGTAGCTCAATGCATCTTAATAATACCTATAAATTTTTATTACAGATAGAAACAAAATTTTGTCTATCAAGTGACATTAATTTTGTAGCGACCTGACCAATAGCTTCGAGGTTACTTCTGGCAACACCCGAGGATGAGTTACTGCTCCACGTGAACACCACACCACCTGGTGTCCCCATGACCACGTGAGGTCCTTCACGCCAAAACCGCAGTCATGCACATCAATACCGCCACCACTCCAGTGCAAGCTCCAGCAGTCACAGTGGGTGCCCATCCTCTCCAGTTAGTGCAGTCTGTCAAACTCCTGTGTGTTACCATAGACCACAAACTGGACTGGAAGGCCCATGTAAACAACACAATCAAGGCAGCGTCGTACCGACTCTACATGCTACGACGACTCAGGTCACTTGGGGCACCCACGCCAGAGCTGAGGACCATCTACAACGCCTTTATTCTCCCCAAATTAACGTATGCGTCACCAGCCTGGTCATCTTTTCTCAACTCCACCCAACAACGTCAACTAGAGAAGGTACAGAAAAGGCCCTGCAGAATCATGCTCGGCGCAGAATACTCCGGCTACAACAACGCTCTCTCCACCCTGGAAATGCCACCCCTCAGTGACCTCCAACACCAAGCACAGCAAGGTTTGGCAGTGGACTACTGCACCAACCTCGCCATCGCCACCTCCTGCCACCGGCAGCCCCCCGCCCACCTCGCGCAGTCCGCCACTACAACAAAATTCAGCCCATTAGAGCCCGCACTGACAGATATGAGAATAGCACCATCCCATCTATTGCTAAAATAATAAACAACTCCTGATTTATGTACTGTACAGCCCTGTAAATGTATTGAGCGCATATCATTATGTCTAAATCACATGTAAGTTTGTATATTTTCAGCCACCGGCTGCAACTCTATTAATAAACCATTTATTAATATTATTATTATTATTATTATTATTATATCAACACCCGAGGACGAGTTACTGCACCACGTGAACACCACACCACCTGGTGACCCCATGACCACGTGAGGTCCTTCATATCAACAACCGAGGACGCGTTACTACACCACGTGAACACCACACAACCTGGTGTCTCCATGACCAGTCCAGTGCCGGGCCATCAACTGTAAACTATAATAATTTGTATGTTCAATTCATATTCCTTCTTCTTTCAGTAATGAAAGCTTGTGTTAAACGACCCACCCACCCCATGTCTTTGTATGTAATAAGTCATTTTTGTCCAATGTATATTTTCAGCCTTCGGGCTGCAGAACTTTTTCAATAAACCATTAATTATTATTATTATTATTATTATTACGATCTGTACATGGTGAGAAGTACAGGGACGGTGGCACCAAGGGAACCCCTGCTCATGGTAGAGAGGAGAGCGAGACGCCGAAAGCATGTCTCGAAGATAGCGGACTTCAGGGATCTGAGATAAGAGGCAATCCATCAAAGAAGTCTCCCTTTAACCCAAAGCCGCCCAAGTTCAGCTAAAATGAGGGCAGGCTGAGCCGTATCGAAGGCTCCCTTGATCAACCGACTCTCACACCCAACTACATCCTCACTTGCCCCATGACCTCCCCCTACAGGTCCCCAGCCGTTACCAACACCTCTTCCCTCCCTGACCAGATACCCCTCCTCCTAGTGACAGGCCTGGCACTAGGGACCTGCCACACTTTTACATAAACAGATAAATTGTACCGGGAATTTTCCCTCACACACTCGTCATTCTCTCACTTTATGTTACTTGCTGACAAAACCCATGACCCTTCAGGCTTTAACGCCCTTAATGCATGAGTCATAAAGGCAAGCATGAACTCCGAATGCTTCCCAGATGGGCACTGTAAACGCTTCTGCGCTTCACCTTGCACAGGACGTAAGGGGGTGCCCAATACACTAGCCCCCTCGTGGGCAATCTCCAATCTCTCCCTTGATATCAAGGAAGACGGAGACGCGGGCAGTCTGGTTGCAATAAAAGGAAGCAATGGAGTGTGCTGTGCTGCGATGTTGTATGAAACCATTGATGGAGTTGTGGAAGCCGCCTATGGTGTGAAGAAGGCGACGATGGAGTATCCTCTCCATCATCTTGCAAACACAGGAGGTAAGACTAATGGGTCGATATTTCCCAGGATCTCCCGGCTTAGGGATGGGGATAGTAGTGGCATTTTTCCAGTTAGACGGGAGAACCCCATGTTCATAAGACATATTGTAGAGAGCAAGCAAGGGGCCGTTAGGAATATTAGTACAGGCGTTGAGGACGGAGTAGGTTATCTGATCATCCCCAGGAGAGGTGTCTTTTCTAGAGCGACGAGCACTGTCAAGCTCGAACTGTGTGATGGGATGATCAGTGGGGGCAGGGGAGGTAAGAGCAGCACGAACAACAGGCTCAGACGCATCGATGCGGGCCTGCACTGCCTCCTGCATTGGATCTGGAAGTGCCTCAGGGGAGGAAGCTCGTGCCCAGTCCTCCATTAAAGAGCAGGCAAGGGAGGCGGGGTCAGGGTGGGGAGGAGGCCTCCGTCGAGTACCCCGTATAGCATTAATCCGATTCCATACATAAGAGGGTGACGACTGGAACGATAGAGACCCCGTGAAGGATAGCCAGTCCGCCTCACGTATCCGACGACGCTCCTGAGTTGCAAAGGAGCACCAATTTTTGAAGTCTTCCCAGACCTCTGGAGAGCGAGACCTCCGTATGGCAGAGTGGAGATCACGGATTACCTGCCGGAGATGTCTCATGGCAGGGATACGATACCAGTAGTTGGTGGCACTTCTCGGGTGACGGGGAGGGCGTGGAGGGGTAGCGCGATTGACAGAGTCATACACGGCATCAACAAAATCAGCGCTGTAAGAGTCAAGGGACTCGGGGACAACATAGGAATCCGCCCAGGTAGAAAGGTATTGGGTAAAGGAAGGAACAGCATCTTGTGTGAGACAAAGGCGAGGGAATCGATAAGGAGCTGCTGTAGGGGCAGAGAAGGAGAGCCTGAGATGGGTAGTAACGGCAAGATGGTCACTATACAGAGCAGGCTCGGTGCAGACGGTAGGATGAAAGGAGGTATGACCGTTCAATAGTAAGCCAACATCAAGGAAACTATGGGGGAGGCGAGTAGGATCGTCAGGACAAAGAAAGCGAACATCATCATCCCTATTAAGAAACTGTGAGAGATGTGATCCATTTAGGGTACATGGAGTGGGATGATCCGGAGTAAGAGTGGGATGGCGGGCATTAAAGTCGCCAAGAACAATAGTGGAAACCCCATCATGGAGGTCGTGAAGAACCTGGGGCGCTAGAGAATCACTCTTGAAATGAACATTGACTACACGAAGGGTCCGGTCACCAAGAGTAAGGGAGACAGAAAGTAATTCAGACGGGGGACCCATGTGAGTCAGGTGAAGGGAGACGAACAGATGGAATGGTGTTACGCACAAGGGTGAGGAGGCCACGAGTCTGCCCACGGTATCGAGGCAGGGTGTAAGCAGTGTAGCCAGAGAGGCGGAGTGGAGTAACATCGTCTGTGATGGTTTCCTGAAGTAGAGCAACATCTACTTGATGGGAGAGCACAAACTGGGCGAGGTCTGTCCGGCGAGGTCTAAGTCCCTGGATGTTCCATTGTAAGAAGAGGAGGGAACGGCCTCCGGTGTGAGATGAGTCGGAGGGGCTAGACAGGGCTCCAGAGGAGGTACCAAATTCTGTTGAGGACAGAGGAGTGGGAGATCGAGGGATGGATCCTCCATCTCGAGAGAAGGAAGGAGGCGGGTCGCCAGGGCTTGTAAAGTGCGCCCCTGTTGGGTCAGGGTGTCCAGAATGAGTTGTTGTTCTTGTCTCTGCAATGTCACAATTGTCTCCACAAACGAGGTGAGTTGGGCAGAGATAAGGAGCTGGAGGTGGCGGCGAGGGATGGTGAGGGTCCAGGTGGGCAGGAGATGGTGGTGACTGTGTGGCAGGGCCAGCAACGACCTTGTTCCAAGAACGGTAGGGGGAGGGGAGAAGAGATGGGTGGTAAGGGTGATAGGGGGATGGTAGGGGAGGGGGGGTGGTAGGGGAGAGGAAATCAATGGGAAATCCTTGGTGGATGGAAGAGGCGGTGGTGAATAGGAGTGAGGTTTGGTTGACAGGGGCTTCTTCAGAGACGAGGGCGGTGGTACAAGGTAAGTTTTCCCCGGGCGAGTGCCAGGACGCTGTGGGCAGTTGGCATTCCAGGCGTGGTGACTGCCATTGTAGTTGACACACCGTGGAACAACTGGGATTTTCTTCTGAATTTTCGATTTGCATTCCACTGTGTCGTGAGGACCTGCACAGAGGCGACCATCCTCGTGCACTCCCAGGTGCGGTGTTTCCACGATTGGCAACGACCACAGATTTTCGGGGTTCCGATAAATCGGTCGAGAAGACAGTTGTGAATAGGTCCTACTCTCACCTTCGGGGGCACCCACCAGCCGATGCGGCTCCATGTCCAGTAGTTGTGGCAGAAGAGGGCGAAGATCGTCGATAGGGATCTCCCAGGGCACGTGGCGAACCATTACCTTGGTACGACGAGTTTCTGAGGTGGTGAACTTCAGCATCACCTCCCCCTGGGGAGCAGGAAAGCCCACTCGTCCATTTATGTAGTGACTATTACGGCTGTAGGACCTCGGCAGAGGCGAAGTGTTGAGTCCTGAAGTGGAGAACAGTGACGGAAGAACCAGGTCGTCCGTGTGCTCAGAGGCAAGTCCCGAGGAAAGGCGAGACGACGAAGGCGCGACGGGGCAGGGAGACAAAAGGAATCCCCTATGTCCATCGTCGGCGTAGGGTCGGTCATTGAGCCAGATGTAAGCTCACTTGGGGACCCCGATGACAGGAGGAGGTCACCCTCTACAGCCCCAGACGGGGTGCGAGAGGGAGCCGTAGCCCCTGCTGGAGACCCTGACTTCTGAGGTTTCTGCTTCTTAGACGTGTCTTCAAGATGAAAGTCGTCAGCATCACTGTCACCTACTGCCGCCGTCTCCAACGAACGGGAGCGTTTAACGTGGGCATAGGGCACGTTGGCAACACTACAGTCAGGTAGATAGTTTGACTTGTTTGAGGTGGAGTGGTAAAGACGTCACTGTTACGTCACACTTCACATGGCGCAAACTTAAAAAAACTCGACCAGAAGGACTGGGTGGCAAGACCGGACGTTTTTATAAAAAAAATAAAAAAAATAAATAAAATGACAAAGTCCAAAACTTAAAAAGCATAGATGCCACTGTGCTGATAACTGGGTCTTACTATAGTTCTCTGCACAGGCTGGAATTAGCAGACTCGATGAATTCGTCAGAAATAGAACTTTTAAGGAGTAGTCTCTTACAGCCATTGTTGAGACCCACGGCACACGGGGACGAACGCTAAACAAACACTATACTTAGTTTAAATATTACTCCTGGCATAAAAAAATAGGATATTTTTTATGCCAGGAGTAAATTAATCTCAAGGTGCAGTTTATCGGATTGACTTTCCTGTTTGGCTACAGTTTTCTTTTTATCTAACAGCGTCATCATGATGCCCTGTGCTCGGGTATATCTTTCTCCCCAAGGATTCAATTTCATCTTGGTATATAGTGGTCACCATTGGTTGCATAAGTCACCATTGGTACCATAAGTCACCATTGGTTGTACAAGTCACCATTGGTACCATAAGTCACCACTGGTACCATAAGTCACCATTGGTTGCACAAGTCACCATTGGTACCATAAGTCACCACTGGTACCATAAGTCACCATTGGTTGCATAAGTCACCATTGGTACCATAAGTCACCATTGGTACCATAAGTCACCATTGGTACCATAAGTCACCATTGGTACCATAAGTCACCATTGGTACCATAAGTCACCATTGGTACCATAAGTCACCATTGGTACCATAAGTCACCATTGGTACCATAAGTCACCATTGGTACCATAAGTCACCACTGGTACCATAAGTCACCATTGGTACCATAAGTCACCATTGGTACCATAAGTCACCATTGGTACCATAAGTCACCACTGGTACCATAAGTCACCACTGGTACCATAAGTCACCATTGGTACCATAAGTCACCATTGGTTGCACAAGTCACCATTGGTACCATAAGTCACCACTGGTACCATAAGTCACCACTGGTACCATAAGTCACCATTGGTACCACAAGTCACCATTGGTACCATAAGTCACCATTACCAGCACACATCACCATTCAACTTCACCATGGCAGAAATAAAACGTCTCATTCCTGTATATAATTCTCTCTTTTTATTGTATTTTACTTCACTTGGGGTCTGTTATGATAACAAATAATAACAAATATAACAATGTAGTTACAACCTTAGGCACTAACAACATTTTACAACCTTCGTGGAGTGTATTAAGTGGTTGTGTGTGGTAATAACGGGGTCTGGTGGTGTGTTGGGGCTAGTGGTTGGTGGAGAGGAAAGATGGTGGATGATGATTGGTGGAGGAGAGATGGTGGTTGTTGATTGGTGGAGAAGAGGGATGTTGATTGGTGGAGAGGAGAGATGGTGGATGATGATTGGTGGAGAGGAAAGATAGTGGTTGTTGATTGGTGAAGTGTTGGGGCTGGTGGTTGATGATTGGTGGAAAGGAGAGATGGTGATTGTTGATTGGTGGAGAGGAGGCATTCAATAGTCCTCTTAAGTGTAACAAATAACATTCAGTGGTCCTCTTAAGTAAACATATACTTTTTTGTACTTACATGGACGGAAACTTTAGTAAAATTCCTATTGCATTGAAGGTAACCATTTGTAAGTACATAATTACGCTCTTTACATCACAACAAAGGCGTAAAGGCATCAATAAACATCAAAAAACACATTTAAACAAGTCCAAATAATGATTGCAATTATCAGAAACAAAAAAGACTTCTAAAAGGTTATTGTTGTATCTACACAGAAGCATTTGAGTAATTTTTTCTCTTCATATATAAACAGATATGTGATCACAGTTTACAAAATATATATATATCAAGTCCTAAGTGATATATATCTGCTAAATGATATAGAATGAACAAGAGGAACTAAGCAGGACATATAGCAGTGCTCTCAATATTTCGGTCGAGTCAATTTTAGTATTATTCTTAAACTCTTTCCCGTAATTGTAAATAAGAAAATAATCAACTGAAATATTATCCTTAGCGATCATATCATCCTTGGTTCATGGACACGTGAAGGATCTGAAGGACTCGTCACCACAGTGTTCCTGGGTACGATAACGCTTCTGGGATGATGGTAAGGAGCCTTGGGAATGATGAAAAGGGCCCTGGAAAGATGGGAAGAGGCCCTGGGGCATGGGCAACGCCCTAAGGAACATGATAAAAGGCCCTGGATGATGCGAAGGGCCCAGAGATGACATTAAGGTCCACAGGAATAAGGGCTCTTGGGTAATGTTACGACCCCCTGGGAAGACGATAAGGTCACCTGAGTGTGATGGTACTGGGCCACAAGTTAGGCCTAAGGAGGGCCGGGTATCAAGGACATCACCTTCGTGTTAAGAATCCTTCAGGACTTCTGCTGCTGCTTCCCCTAATGTCCTGATGTCTTCCCAAGATGGCCCTGATGTCTTTGTCTGATTATACTGATGTTCCTGATGTCCTAATGCCCATGATGTCCTGATTCTAATAGGGTCCTGAAGGAATAAAGATGTCTTAGTTGTGGCAGGTAAAACAATGGCTACGTAACTGTAAACAAAAGAAGAATGATACTACTCACTGCTTATTTTTCTCCTTAAGTGTTATTAATTATAGTACATATTACATAAACATTGTTGAATACAGTAAACACATCTAGTGATATAACTCATTATTTTGTACTGCGTTTAAGTGCTTTATATTATTCAAGATTATGTATATTATTATAATCAGAGTGTGAGAGAGACAGAGAAACAAAAAGAGAGAGAGAAACAACGCCCACACACACACACACACACACACAAAAGGACAGGTGGGCTGGAAATTCCCCAGGTTAATGAAGCATCGACTTAACACAACTCACCTGTTCAGAGGAAGGTAGGGTAGCTGCCTGCCGTCCAGTGAACTTCGCCTCTCCTTCCTACTCAAGACAGCGACAGCAGGAGGGAGGAAGAGAGAGGGGGCGACGAGAGGGGGAGGAGGAGAAGACGAGAGGGGGAGGAGGGGTAGGAGGAACAGGGAAGAGAGGGAACAGAAGAGGAGGGGGAAGGAGGAGGCTGGAAGAGGAAGGGGGAGGATGAGGCAGGAAGAGGAGGAGGCGCAGAGGTCGTAGGAGAGAGAACGACAGTCACACACGCAGTAGCAGCGGGTCTCGGGAGGTGGAGGCTAGGGGGGTCGATGTCCTCTGGGAAAACCGCACTGCCGTTACTTGGACTTGGCAGGCGGTGGTGGCGGCGGTAGGTGGTGGCGGCAGGGGTGGTGGTGCATCTTACTTCCCCCCCCTCTACCACCACCACCAGCGTTCTTCTCCTACCACACGTTCACTGATGTTCTGTTGGTGAAAATATATACAGGTAAATTTCTATGGCCAGTACAGGTGTGATTCATTAATATAAATCGATTGTTGATACACTGGAAGTAGTATATTAATGGACGATATTGTGTTTATAGGTTTATATAGAATATGTATTGGTTTAATTTATACACACGTACACATACACACATGTACACGCACATACACAAACACAGTCTTACCTAAAAAAAATTCCGACATCGAACATAATAATATACTTCACAGACAGCAAATCATCCATATACGTCTTAAAATAATCTATTCACAGCACATCCACACTAAAGATGCTAGGTCTGGTGGGCACGGGACTGTAACGACGTGTCTTCGTGGTCTTGCACTCACGAACAGACCCCAACACCCCTCTCGACGCGTGACTACTCCATGTTAAACGCACAATGACGAAGGAAGAACACGCCTCTTGCATACTATATTTGATAAAATAAGTAAATAAGATTTCTAGGAACTCATTTGATGCATAACTAATACCCTAGTTGCTTAAATTAATCCCCACGAGACTGTATTAGCTTAACGTAAACTAAATAAAAACAATGGCAAAAAAGTACAGTTACCCCTATGATAGTAATTGATATTCAGTTTTCTTTTTCATATCAGGTTTTTTCCCTCTTCATATCTTCCTCATTTTTCTCATGTGCCGTTTTTCATCACCTCCCATCTCTCTCACACCATTTCCTAGTTCTCTTCCACGCCCAAAACTTTCCAATATGTATAAATTCGTCATCGTTCTTACATTTCTTTCTACCTCTCCCGTCCGTATCCAGGAAGGAAGCGAGGCAGCAGGAAGCAGTCAATGGCTTGTCCAATATCATCAACACTCGCTCTCTCTCTCTCTACCTTGACTCGTGGAGGTGCTGGACTCATGTGAAATTATGATAGTGACGTATAGACACCCCCTCACGCCACGATAACTGTCCTTAATACCACGTACAAGGTTCATTTTACCATATATTCTGCCTTACTCACCGCGTACACTGAGATGATTACGTGTACCGTCCTTAATGCGTACAGATATAAAAAAAAAGGCGTGTATTATACTATATTTCACACCAAGTACATGCCCTTCACACCACGTACACTTCCCTTCACACCACGTACACAATCCATCAAACCACGTACACAAACACGCAATCCAACGTGTACACTGAACAAATACACTAATATCTTCTATAATCACAAACAAATACAGTTACATGATCACGTACACAAACATACACACACTGATGTACGTACATAACGGGAAATGTGTACAGATATGGGTGTAATATTCTAAATCATGTGTACGTGATGAGGATACGCACACGACCACGTACACAGACACACAAACCACTCACCAGTGTTCAGGAGCGCCACGTCTTATCTGCACAAGAGTCCCTGTCTTACTGATGGTCTTAGGGAGGAGGAGGAGGAGGGAGGAGGAGGAGGAGGAGGAGGAGGGAGGAGACAGAGGGAGGAAGAGGGAGGAGGAGAGGAGGAGGAGGAGGAGGATTGATGAGATTACACACACCCACTACCACAACCACTACTACCATCTTATAATTAATCCTACGTCACCACACCCTCCCCTGCCCGTCCCCACACACACAGACAAACACGCCCACACGCCCACACGCCCACCCACAAAATCAAACTACAATATAAATAAAATCTAAATAACTATAAAAATAAAAAATAAAAATAAATATATATATTATTTTCTGTACCAATCATTCGTTCGTCGTTACTTAGAATGTAAAGGAATTCTATTTAACAGACAGACAGACACAGACAGACAGACAGACAGACAGAGAAAAGCATAATCACATTTCTTCACACCGGATTATATTATTTTTTCATTAATTGAGATGAAGAAAGTTTAACTACTTTCTTGAGTGTCTAAAAACTAAAGGATGGATAAATTATGTAGGAAAAGTTATGGAGAAATGTGTAAAGTATTATATATAGAAAAGTTCTTGTGTTTTGGAGAGATAAAATGGGTTCAGTTTATTGTGGTGATTATCTGTCTTTATCAACCACCACCACCGCCTCCACCCAGTTTCTGTCACCACCCACACACCCACCACGCCTCCATCCAGTTACCGTCACCACCCACACACCCACCTCGCCTCCATCCAGTTACCGTCACCACCCACTCACCCACCTCCACCTCGCCTCCATCCAGTTACCGTCACCACCACCCACTCCCCACCACGCGCCTCACCCCCATATGAGAGGCCCCACCACTAATTCTGCATGATGACCAAACCACTTGGATCATTTTATTTCATTTGTTTTCTTTCATTATAAGTCATTGTTTTACTCTTTAGGGGGTAATTGTGGTTGGCAGTAGTGGTGGTAGTGGTGAGTGGTGATGGTAGTAGTAGTAGTGGTGATGGTAGTAGTAGTGGTGATGGTTGTAGTAGTAGTGGTGATGGTTGTAGTAGTAGTGGTGATGGTTGTAGTAGTGGTGGTGATGGCAGTGGTAGTAGTAGTGGTGATGGTAGTAGTAGTGGTGATGGTAGTAGTAGTGGTGATGGTGGTGATGTTAATACTATTGGAATCTACTACATTACAACCCCTCCCTCAACACACACACGAATATTAAAAAAAAAAAAATCATTACAAATCTCAAAAGACTCTCTCGTATTGGCTACAGAATCGAGGTTATTTAATTAAATCACCTAAATACCTGACTGAACGAGAACCACACAAGAGGGTATCACTGTAGCAGCATCGTCACCATTAACAGCCTCAACAACAGACAAAAAACAGCAATTGGAACAGCATTCAGAGGGTAAATTTATGGTACAGGTGTTGGGTGGTATGCAATCACCTGCACCTCTCCACAGCTCTGTCTGACCAGGTGAGTGTCCTTCGTCAGTCCTCTCCCCCCCCCTTCTTCATCCCCCTCACCCTCCCTCCACCCCCCCCACACCTCCAACCCCCCCACCTGTTCACCCTCCAAATGACTCCTTCACCACCGTCCCCATCCTCCCAACACACTAACGACACTTCCAACATACCATCCCTCTCCAACATCCTCTCCCATCATCACCTCCTCACCCTCCCATCATCACCCTCCTCACCCTCCCATCAACCCCCCCATGTAGCGTATTAGAGGTGTACACACTAGAGACAGATGATAACGACCTTAGTGATGGTGGAGGGCTGACTGCATCCCCTCCCCTCCTCCCCTCCTCCCCTCATCGCTCCGGCCTCCTCCTCCCTCACTGCCTCCTCCTCCTCACTGCCTCCCTCACTGCCTTCTTTCTTCCTCCTCCTCTTCACTCCCTCCCTCCTCTCCTCTTTCATCACTCTCTCCTCTTCTTCCTCCATCTCCCTGTCCTCCTTTCGCTCCCTCCTCCCCCTCCCTCCCTCCCGCACCCGCAGGCGGTGGCTGCGGCGACTCAGCTGATACACTGCTCGGCCACATAATTGTCAGGCCCTCGGGTGTACGACGGTGTCCTGTGTGCCCTCTGTCTTCAGGTGTACCCCAGACAGGTGTATGTGTACCCCAGACAGGTGTATGTGTACCCCAGACAGGTGTATGTGTACCCCAGACAGGCGTGTGTGTACCCAGACAGGTGTACGTGTGCCCTGACAAGTATATACAGCACATATAACCCAAGCACATATACACGTGTCTGTGTATACCAAACGCTGATTTTTAGAGCCTTGTCGAGTCTGGGCCCAAAGTCGAGGCATTGATGGAGTAGAATGACGCCGCCTCACCCTCCCAAGTGGTCGAGGGGGTAAGGGGGGAGAGGGGGTAAGGGAGAGAGGGGGTAAAGGGTGGAGAGTAAGGGAAAGGAGGAGGAAAGAAGGAGGAGGGCAAAGGAGGGGAGGGCAAGGAAGAGAATAAGGAGGATATGAGAGGGAGGAAAGAAATATAGGTACTGTGGGAGAAGGATGGAGGGGGGAGGGGGGAGAAGGGGAACTACAGCAGGAATTTAACATAAGAACCTTTTAAAAAAATATCCAACACTAACTGACTTGACTGACTCGCTCCCTCGCTGACGGAGAACACAAACGTCACTTTTTTTATATAACACGTAACTAACTACTATTAATATACCTTCTGTTTAGACTAAATAAATTACGGGTTATCTTACAGAGACGGACGAGGTGAAGGTGGTGGCGGTAGCCCAGGGGAAGGGCGTGTCCTGAATTCTAATCCTATGTCGGTGGGCGGTGTGTGTGTGTGTGTGTGTGTGTGGAGAGGTGTGTGTATGTCTTGGAGAGGTGTGTGTGTGTCTGGAGAGGTTCAGTGATCCCAGGCTACCTCCGTCCCTACCACAAGCCTTAACTAAACCTTTACTGAAAATTACCTTCAACCCATTACTCCTACCTACGTAAATATGTATGTCCGTGAATAAATACGTGTGTATATGCGTATATCTATCCTTCACATGTCCGTATTTCCATGTACACGTGTCCTTGTAACTGTAAACACATAAATCAAGGCTTCGTTAACGACCGTATCAACAAAATTACTCCCGGGTTCTTATTAATATCTTAAATAACTCCGTAAGCCATTCTATCACGTGAGAAAACCCCATATATCTCTTTTTAAATCTCTAAAGTCATATATCCTGTCGTAATTATAACGTGATGTATGATTTAAGGAGACTGTATCATGCGACAAACGGTGTACCTCGAGACCTAGGGAGGGCATCGACTTCTTTTGTACCGCAAGAGCTGGTAAAGGGGACGACACTCAGGGTGACGTGATTCGATTACACTGACTCGACGGACATAGGATGTTAGGTGATATATCGGGAATTCAACTTAATGGGAACGTATTTAAGCTGCGTCTGGTTTTATTACAGTTTAGAATCCCAGATATTGTTCCTACTACAACACTATCGGAATTAACGCTGTTGTTATTGATTTCCATAGAAGATTACGTATATTTTTCGCATTTTTCACTTATTTTGTTATTTTTTTTATCCCCAACGTAAAATTGTTATTATTACTGTTGTATTTACATTGCACTGACGCCTCGTATGGTAGATATCATATTATTGACATTTATACACTCGAGTTTTTATTCCTTCATCGGGTTTATAAGTTAGTTCTTCTAAACCCCTCTGAAGGAATGGTTTATTGTCGTTTGATAAGATGCCTAAACCAGAAAGCAACACTGAGAGTTAATACAGTAAACCTCACCTGTAAACCTTGAGTCGTGTTGAGGATAGCGTGAGGATAGCGTGAGGATAACGAGACGTGTGTTTGCAGGACTTCATTCTTCACTCATTCCTCATCACACACGATCTATGTAGAGTTGCGTAGATCATTTCACGATGGTATTGCTGTAATCTTTCAACACTCTGACTGTGTGACTGTCGGATCACCGAGTTTCAGTAGTATGTGCCCCCTTCTACCTGCTGGGGTAGTACCGTCCTTCCACCTACAGGAGCACCTGCCACCTAGGTACTGATTTTCCCCCAGCCAAGAACTGACACAAACGCAGGTCCTGGTATACACCTCTGAACACACGAACAAACAATTCAGTAGTTTAGAGGTGAATTATAGCCGAGTTTTATAATGTTTGGGGCATTTTCTTATTGTTTAGTGTTGTTATTCTTGCGGTTTTCATTATTCTGTTGTTTTTTATCGTTGTGTTTGCTCTTATTTCCCTCATTTATTAAGTTTGTATCGTTTATTTTTCTTTCTGTCTATTAAGCAGACAAATAATCGAGATATTTACATTCAAAGCTCATTGAAAAAACACAATATTTCCTCCTTTCTTCTTCTTCTTCTTATTCATTTTTTTCCTTTACACATCAGGTTTATTACTTAACCTTTCAATTCCTTTCGTTAGAAAATACCAACAAGTTCTTGGACAATAAGTAGTTTTATGATGCTCACTTGTTTTATCTCACGAGTGGTGGCCAGGCAGACATGGTTCGTGGTCAGTCAAAAGCTATTGTCTTACTAAACCCTCGTCTATTTAAATACTTTGGGTTTATTTGGGTTTTTTTAGGAGGTTTAGATGTCGTCACAGAGTTTTTGTTTTAAGGTTTAACACAAGAAGTGTCGTTCCAGTTGGTTTTATTATCGCTTTGAGGTTTAGCAAGAATATAATATAGTCACATTAGTTTTATCTACGGTTTTTAGATTCAATGGTTTAACGAGACGATAAACCTAAACCTAAAACTTAATAAAAAGTATACGCAGGTATTTACAGTGAGTTAAACCATTTATAAAGTTTGGTAAACCTTGTGGGGAAAAAAAAATCGTTTATTGAGGAGAGGGCGTTGCCAGACGAGAGGCGAGTGAGTACCTACCTGTCCCCCCTCCCTCTCCCCCTCCTTCTCCCCCCCCTTTCTGTCTCTCTCTCTGCTTTCTTCCCTCTCTCTCTGCTTTCTTCCCTCTCTCTCTGCTTTCTTCCCTCTCTCTCTGTCTACCTCATCACCCTCCCTTCCTTGGTTACCTCCCTCACACCCTGTCTCTACCTCACTACTCCCTCGCCACCCTCTCATACGTTCCTCCCTGTCAGCCTCTCTCCCTCACTCCCTCACCCCCACCCTCCCTCACCCTTGTCTTTGTCTCGTTCTCAAACCTGTTTCCACACCCATTCTGCTCCCATTTATCCATTTTCCCCCAATTCTTCTTTACTCCCTTACCCATCCACACTCCCTACCCAAAGATTATCTCCCTAAAATCAAGAATTCGTGTCTAATGCAACTAAAATTGATCTGTAGTGTTAATAAGAAAGGTTAAATAAGGTTTTTAATTTGCCAGATACAGGTGTCGGCACAGGTAGACGATATAAACACTAGGAGCTCCAGGTAACGCATCACAGGTAAGTGTATTGGGTATCGAGTGTAGACATGATAAAAACACACATTGAATGAACGATTTATTTACATATTAACATCATTGGTAATAACAGTACAGGTAATTGCAGGTATATCAGGTAACATAGGTACTAATGATCTAATGATGAGAATTAATTTATAATCACAGGTGTACAGGTGAGATAATGGAATATAAAGGTGTGTTAAAGGGTCTTATGAGGTTAATTAATGTTTCATCTAGTAAAGGTGGACTGAAATATACCTGCTAAGTGGCCTACACACACACACACACACACACACACACACACACACACACACACACACACACACACACACACTAATAGAAACGGATGTAGAGTTTAGATATAGAGAAGGAAAGATAAGTGTATTGATATATGTATGAATAGCGAGTATATTTACGCTATATTTCAGTATATTTAAGGTATAATTTAGTGTATTTCAGTATGTCAACACCACAAGATATACTTCACGATACACCACCATAGGTAAAACGACCATACAGTATATACCATTAATATCTGTCGTCGAGGTCGTATCTCCTGGTCGTAGTGTCGTAGTTGTAGGTTCTTCAGCTGTGGTGGTCGTGGTGGTCGTCGTTAGTGTGGTAAATATGGTGTTGGGTTCAGGATTAGTCGTGATGGTAGTAATTGTTGTCGTGTTGGTGATGTTTTCATAGATGGTGGTAGTTGGTGAGGTGGTGGTGATTGGAGAGGTGGTGGTGATTGCGTAAGTGGTTTTACGTCTACCATCATCATCACCACTATCACCACCACCACTATTCTTGTAGCACACCAACAGAATCTCATTAGTTAAGGCAATAAACTCATTGAAGGTCCTAGTACTGAAGCCACCAGTCTTGTAATTACCCTGACAGGTCAATCTCCGACTTGTTTTATTCAGGTTCCGGTGTCTTAGGTGACCCTCGTTCCCGTACACGACTTTCAGGACGTGGTCTTGGTGGTTACAGGTCACGATGAACGATTCGCCAGGGCAGGCCTATAGGAAGGAGAGGAGAAAAGTAGGTTAGTGTCCAGGGAAATATCACGTGGCACTGGATCCTTGGGTGACAGTGCCATATAGTGCCACCATAAACCACCTATCAAGATGCACCACTCACCACACTGGCCTTCTCACCTCCCTCATTATTGTTGTTATTGTTATTACCTTTAACCGAACACTAGAGAGGGTCCAGTTGTTGGCCACCGGTGTGTACGTTCGGTCAAGATTGAGATGAAGAGTTTCCGCCTCCCAGCTGATCGTGACGTCACAAGTCGGCGCTCCTGTAAGCATCATGTGAAGATTAGACACCCCAACTTATTTCACCTAAAGATTGAAGATTTTAACCTAACGTAACTTAATTATTATCTTTAAGATATACTTACGCCCTCTCTCTCTCTCTCTCTCTCCCCCACTATCACCATTACACACTCCCTCCATCCCTCACCATCACACACTACCCCTCCCTCACCATCACACACTACCCCTCCCTCACTACGTCACACTCGCTCACCACCACAGGAGGTATTTTCAGTCTTGCAGGTACTAAGTTCTTCCTCCATCAGACAGGGACGGAGGTAGGGGGCGCTGGCGTTGTAAACAATACCACACACGTGTTGGTGGTCGTGTAGGTGACAGGAGTTGTATTCTTGGTCGTCGTGGCGGAAGGGGAAGCGACACACCCCTTCCTTGGCCCAACAAACTGTAAAGGGGGAAGTAATGGCAGTGGTGAAATAGGGAGAGAAGGAGAGGGGAAGTTGGAGGAGGAGCAAGAAGAAGAGGAGAGGGATTGGGAGCGGGAGGGGGATTGAGAGGAGGAGGAGGAAGACCTACTTGTACATAGCTATTCAAGTTATACTCATACGTAAACGGCACAATATACTCACCTGGCCAGTATAATGAGTCCTGATGGGTACAATATACTCACCTGGCCAGTATAATGAGTCCTGATGGGTACAGTATACTCACCTGGCCAGTATAATGAGTCCTGATGGATAGAGTATACTCACCTGGCTAGTTAGTGAATGTTAATGGATATACTCACCTGGTCTACATTCTGGGATGAAACTCCACCTGCCATGTGGATACGTGAGGTAGAGATTGATGGAGTGGAGAGGTTGGGTGTCGTAGAAATATACGACTGAACGTTGATCTATACACTCGAGCAACACCTTCCTCTGATATGAACCCTGCCAACAGAAAGAATTAAAACTGTGACCCTGCCAACAGAAAGGGTTAAAACTGTGACCCTGCCAACAGAAAGGGTTAAAACTGTGACCCTGCCAACAGAAAGGGTTAAAACTGTGACCCTGCCAACAGACAGGGTTAAAACTGTGACCCTGCCAACAGAAAGGGTTAAAACTATGACCCTGCCAACAGAAAAGGTTAAAAACATAATCTTCTGGTGTCACTAACATTTCCATCGTACCTACGGAGGTGAGCGTTCGCAGCACCAGCAGGAAGATCGTCTCCCGGGTGATGCTCTGCCTCCTCCTCCTCCTCCTCCCTACTGCTGACATGGCGGCCGTATCTGCAGTAGAGAGTTCATAATAGATAGTAAGATAGTAAGATAAATATGTGTATGTAAACGTGTAATATAAGAAGCGCAGTATAATAGTATAGTTACCCTAAAAAAGTATCGTTTTCTTTGGTGTCATTTATATGTAGTCTACGGTAATTGCACGCTATATTTCAGACGCTATCACGTGGAAAATGGTAAGAAATTTGACCTTCAGGGTAAATTCATTCAGCAGTTGGTGCAATGAGCTCCCATAACCTTTAATATATTATTCTATTGGTGAACAAACGATCCTCAGTGACTGGAAATTACCATACGTGATTAAAGAAGGTGATGATGCCAAGTTATTCAGGGAAATTCAGAACTAAACAGACTGTGAAGAGCTACATGACGATCTCTGTCAGCTTCAGGAGTCGTCAAATGAATGGCTGGTAATATTAAACGTCACGAAGTGTAAGAGGATGTACCTAGGACGTACCAACGGTAAGGAGGCGTATCACATGTCCCAACTGGACGAAGAAACTGCATTAACGGAGACCAAATGTGAAATGGACCTGGGTGTGTATGTTGACAATAAACTGAAGTTCTCGGACCATTGTGAGAAGAAGGTGAATCAAGCGACTAAGCTACTGATCCCCGAGATATGCTAGGGACTGTTAAATGATTGAAAACGTCCAATGGAAGGCCACCAGACTGGTGCCTGCATTACGGCACCTCAGTTATCCAGAGAGATTAGAGCGCCTGCAACTGCCCAGACGGGCAAGGGGTGACTTAATAGAAGTATATAAACACTTAAGTGGACATTAATGAGTCGGGTGTTCATACCTGGAGCTGGTGGAGACAGAGTTGTGAACTGTTGTAAAAACCTGCCAGTGTGTGTTGTGGCGGTACCGAGTTGATGGCGTTGACAATGACAAGTGACCAATAACACAAGCTGTTCCTTCAGTGCCCTCTGCTCGAGTGTCAGCTGTCGCCCTCCACCTTGGTATAACACCGACACCACTTATTCAACGTCAATCAACATAAAAAATAGACAAATAAATGATAACATTCCCCTCCTAAAAAAAAACCCACACACGTCTAACTACATGTAAACAGGAAATTTCTCTATACTGTATTCTATACCTCTATACAGAACCTTTACCGACAAAAAATATAGAAAAAAGCTAACTAAACGCAGGAGTCACTTCTATAGCACGAATGGAGGATAAAGACAACAAAATGGATCAAAATGGAACAATAGGTAGACGAAATTAAATATGCATGAGTCTCCCATTAAAATTATTCATAAAAAACGATCAACAAACTCAAGGGGAGACTTATTTATGGCTGACACGCAGGGGTAAAAATACACCAAAAATACTAGGAAGTAATGGCCGCGATAATTTCCTCTTCATTGTATTATGAATGGTTAAGTGAGCCTCTGGGTGAGTTTGATGTGTTGTTTGGAGCGTGGTGAGTTGTGGTTGTTGTGAGAATGTGTGGTGGATTGTGGCTGTTGAGTGTGTAATAGATTGTAATTGTTAGCATGTATGGTGGGATTGTATTGTTATAATGAAGAAGAATATGAACAACTACCATAAGAACCTTGCCAAACTTTGTACGTAGACAGATCACATTACTTTATCCTCTTCGTCTCTGATCGGTTTGTTAGCCACTTGGGCGTTCGGTCACGTCTCTGTTACGTACCGATGACAAATTCTGGGCATATACTGGCTCTTTGTTACACACTGTTGGAAAGTACTGAGCAAATCTGGTTTTGAATGAGCTCACACTCGGTACCGCCACAACACACTCTGGCAGGTTTTTACAAAAGTTTACAACTCGCGCTTCAGCAGCTCCAGGTATGAACACTCGACTCAGTAATGTCGTCTGAGGTGTTTATAAACTTCCATTACTGTAAGTAACCCATTACCTGCCTATAGTATAAGCTGGGTGTCCTATATCTCTAGATAACTGAGGTGCCGTAGTGCCAGCACCAGTCTGGTGGCCTTCCTTTGGACGTTTTCAATCATTTAACAGTCCCTAGCATATCTCGGGGACCAGTAGCTTAGTCGCTTGATTCACCTTCTTCTCACAATGGTCCGAGAACTTCAGTTTATTGTCAACATACACACCCAGGTCCTTTTCACATTTGGTCTCCGTTAATGCAGTTTTTTCGTCCAGTTGGGACATGTGATACGCCTCCTTACCGTTGGTACGTCCTAGGTACATCCTCTTACACTTCGTGACGTTTAATATTACCAGCCATTCATTTGACGACTCCTGAAGCTGACAGAGATCGTCATGTAGCTCTTCACAGTCTGTTTAGTTCTGAATTTCCCTGAATAACTTGACTTCATCACCTTCTTTAATCACGTATGATAATTTCCAACCGCTGCGAATCATTTGTTCATCCCTATGGAGAGCTCATTGCACCAACTGCCGAAGGAATTTATCCTAAAGGTCAAATTTTTCACCATTTGCACGTGATAACGTCTGAAACATGGCGTGCAATTCTCGTAGACTATGTACATGTGGCACCAAAGAAAACAATACTTTTTTTTAGGGTAACTATACTATTTTATAGCACTTCTCATATTACACGTTTATACACACATACTCTTAATATAATTAGAGATAAAAATCTTTTAAGGTCTCTCTTGATTTATAATTGATTGATAAACTCACTAATACCACGAATCAACCTTGTAAACAAAGCCAGCACGATAATATGCCTGAATGGTCGACGCACCTGCAGGACACAATTCCTTCCTTGACTTCTTACGTTCTCCTCTTCGTCTCTGTTGAGCACTGTTAGACACTCGGGGGTCGGTCACGTCTCTGTTGCGCACTGTTGGTAAGTATTGGGCATAACATCTCACACGAATTCATTTATTGATGTTATTTAAGCTATTATTAAACACAGTTATGGCATTTTAGTCACACTTAAGTAAATAAAATAAAAATTACCCTAACCTAACTTTACCTAATGCGTACTTAACCTAGCTTACACTAACCCAACCATGTGGATATACTGTATACAATATATACAGGGGTATACAGTATACAAGTATGTTTCTATTCCCCGAGTCGATACACTACTTAGGAACCTATTGTGTATATAATTTAATACACCTATTGTATTTTACTGTATTGCTGTATTGTATATGTACCTCATTCATCAGGTCAAGTGGTGATATTTATTCCCTTGATGCTAAATAATTTGTGTCAACAGTTTTTCAGTAATTAACCTGTATATCCAAGATGGAGTATTTTTTCCCATAGGTGCTAGACATGGTATATACTGAAATGGTCTTAAGAATATGGCATACTGTAAAGTTCTTAACACACATGATATACTGTAAAGGACTTAACACACATGATATACTACCCACCCACACGTCAAAACACCTCTTCACCACCCACCTATCATTCAAATCTTCACGAAAATAAAAATCAACAAAGTCAATGCCACACATATCCAACACAATTAACTAATATCTTTCTTAATTAACTCAATATCACCCCAATCACCAAGACGTTATTCACACCATCACAAAAGATTCATTCATGTTTTCAGCCATAGAACTTCTAACAGCTGATGAATATAAACAAACCCAGCTGATATTTATAAACAATGACACGTGGATAGGGCACAGCATATACACGCTAATCAACAAGGGGCGTTAAAGTATTATATATCCTATGATTTTCACCCATAGCGATGTAGTGGGTTAGGATTATCTTCTTCCCTTGTGGAGTCGATATTTTTATTTATTATTGTGGGGTAAAGGAAAGGATGAAAGGGTGATTGATGCCAGTAATAACACGATGGTGATTTAGTGAATGAGGTATTGTCCGGGTCGTGCTAAAGGCCAGGGTTATATTTCTCTTTGATGATTTATTGCATAGAAATTCTAAAACGTGTGTGTGTGTGTGTGTGTGAGAGGGAGGGGGTGAATCTATTGAGACAAAGAGAGAGAGAGACGCAATTACACTCAAACACACACACACACACACACACACACGCACACAGTGGCTTAAGACAGTAAGTAGTGCCAGTCAGTGCCACATTCACTGCCACGCCGTCATCAGCTACAGGTCTGTCTGTGTGTGTGTGTTCGTGACCATTTAAAACTCTGCACTAGAAACCAGCCCCCACTAGAAACCAGCCCCCACTAGAAACCAGACCTCATTAGAAACCAGACCTCATTAGAAACCAGACCTCACTATATTTAACGTAATACACACCTGAATACACGTAAACAAACCTAATTAGCTCCTCACCTTCAGGTATTTCCCTTCAGGTGTTGATGGCTGTCTGCTGCAGAAGTTCATGATGCTACACCTCTGCTGTTACCTGCTGTTACTACTGCTGTTATTGTTACCTGGGGAAGGTATTGGAGTTAGAGAGGGTTCAGGTTCGGGTTCAGGTTCGGAATCGGGTTCAGGCTGGGATTTGGGTTCGGTTTTAGGAAGTCTATTTCATGGACAAAATACAAAAGAAATTCAGAGATTACTGATTGTGATGGTGATTTGAGATGTGTTTTTCTTGGATAAAATTAGAGTAAATAAAAAAAAAATAATGATTCTAGTTTAAGAAGTCTAATTAATCATCATCATCATCATCATCATCATCATCATCATCATCACACTATACCTGACCCCCCACCCCCCGTACCACTAACAGCAGCGGGCAGTGAATGTGTACAGGAATTAACCCACCTGGTAACCAACCCCTCGAACCTGTCCATTGAAACACCTGTTGATGAAGTGTACCTGCAAGAAGGTGTACTAGCGGTGAGTTTACCTGTGTGTGTGTGTGTGTGTGTGTGTGTGTGTGTGTGTGTGTGTGTGTGTGTGTGTGTGTGTGTGTGTGTGTGTGTGTGTGTGTGTGTGTGTGTGTGTGTGTGTGTGAGGCTATGAACTGTGTTTTTTTCTTCTGTTTGTGTTATACGTTTGTGTTTATAAATTGTGTAAGGGTGTTTATTAATCGTGTATGTGTGTGTTGAAGTGTGTATAGATGTATGTAAACTGTTTATGTGTAATCGACTTATTATATTATTATTGTTATTATCATTATTAACAGTATTCTAATCTCCTAAACAATAATCCAATCAGCAAAATTAGACCCACTACACTATCAAATT